TTTTACTCCTATGTACAATTATGAAAAAGACACAACAAGCAGTGACACTTGTAGGTGATAACTTACTCAGTACTGCTTTAACAACCTTAACCTCCACCTGAAAAAGACATTCAAATAATACAGGGAAACGGTACAAGAAAGAAAGTGACAAAAATGAAACTAAAACTTGAAGCTGTTATATCTGCTGTAACCTTTTGGCTAAAGCTAAACTGGAGAAATACACTTCGTTAAGGCGGGTTTATTCTGTCCAGTAGTGTGAATGACATGTAATATATTAAAGGACCGTGACTTTGCCCGGTCACAACACACTTGAAGGTAACTCTACATTTCTCAATATAACGAGTTAACTAGGGTTTGGGAATAAAGACATTTTACTTTTGTGCACAAATAACATGCATTGTTAATGCATGGAGGAAAAATGTGGGTATCTGAGCTTTAAATTCAGGAGTTTTGCTTCAGGAGGAGACACAGGAGACTCACATTTATTTCACATTCAAAATCATGAAATGACAAAGTATTATTAGTAATGCATCATATTTAGATGTTTTATTTTTTTAACAGATCTTTCTCAAATGGAAATGGACACCATCACTTTCAATTGACCTCAACCCAGAGTCTCCTCCTAAAGGAGAATCCTCTGTGGCAGTTACAAGGAGATCCAATCAGGACATGTGTGAGAAGGACACAGCAAAAGAGGTACTGCTGCATTTTGTATCATAAGACTTTTGGTACAATTGTAGATTGTCATTTTACATTTTCCACGTGTTTGTAGATGGTGGAACTGCAGGAAAACCCTGGTGACCGAGAGATCCTTAAAGATTATAATTCTGTGAGATCACGAAGTCACCGCTCTCGAAGACAACTTGTCGACCTTCTCGTCAGTGACATGAGTGAAACACATGGGTATGTTGTATCCCTCAGTTAATACTCTAAAGTTCCTTCTTACAAGTGGAAGGATATTTACTCAAAATAAAATGAAAATCACTTGAAAGACTTTTCACAATAATCACGTAACAATTCAGTTTCTCTCAGCACTGTTATTGATTCCCCATTGTAAGATAAATAGTACTGATCTCTTTTATAAATGACCTAGGTAGATGTCCTGTAGATTATCTCTTGGTTAGGTCCCCGTGAAAATATGTACTTGTAGAAACTATTAATTTAGCCTTTTTATGTAACCATGAAGTCCCTTGACCATTAGTGTTTTTCTTTCCTTAGACAAATCCCTTCCCGAAAACAAAAAGAAAGCTATGCCTTTAGAATTATCACTTTTTTCATTGAAGGATCCATTTTCTCAAAAAGGTTATGTAAGTATTGTTAATGTATCCATGGAAATTGAATTTGGTTTACCTACACGTTTTGTGTCGGTAATGGATAAGTATAGATACCATTCATAACTGTACACTTTGTTTTCAGACTAATCTAGCCTCGTAATGAGATGGTGACCAATATCTGCAAGTCCACATTTCCACGATGTTGATAAAGACGACATTGTGTCTAAGTGTTTTACTGTTTCTCCTTCCTTGTTTGACGTTACTGTTACTTGCGTTTGATTTTTATTCATACCACTTTTTGATTGTTTTCTAGCGGTCTGTAAGACTTATTATGAGACGGTTCGCAGGAGCCATCAAAACTCATTGAGGGCGGACGTTGCGAAGAGTTCAGCTCGGAGTCGAGCGAGAAGAAAGAGGGTAAGACTAAACTGCATCGCACAGTAAGGCAAGGGAGGTTTATTTGTGTAGCACAATTCATACACAAGGAAACTCAAAGTGCTGAACAAAAGAAAGCATTAAATAATCACAGTACATTAACAAAGATAAATATAAAATCCCTCAGTTGTAGCACAGCTAAAGTGAGAGCTCCTCTCTGACAATGTTTAAAACTAGGTTAAAAACAGTTTACCTCAGTTGTAGCACAGCTAAACCAAACTGTTTTTAACCTGGTTTTAAACATTGTCAGAGAGGAGCTGTCACTTTAGCTGTGCTACAACTGAGGCATTTTATATTTATCTTTGTTAATGTACTGTGATTATTTATTTTAATGCTTTCTTATTTTGCTCAGCACTTTGAGTTGCCTTGTGTATGAATTGTGCTAGACAAATAAACTTGCCTTACCATCGTACTTCCTGGTTCTGGTCAGGACTTGAGCTGCTGCATTTTGAATGTACTGCAGCTGTTGTTACAGTAGTCTAACCTACTGGAGACAAATGCATGGATAAGAATCTCCAGGTTTGCTTTAGACACTATGTTTTTGATCCAGGCAATGTTTAGATGGGAAAAAGGATTTGATTTGGCTAATAATATTTACTGATTCTTTCAGCCGCTGGAATCGAGACTGAGTGTGCTAGAAAGTGACAAAGTGGAACTCTGGAAGTCCGCCACGGTAGACCTAATGTCCAATGAAGAAGAAGGCGTTGTGGACGGTGTCTTTGGGTGGATTGTGCGGTCGCCGTCTTTTCGAAAGCCGGAGTTTTCTGAACTCTGTCAAGCTGCAGTCCTGGTTAGAGGCGGCGCGGAAGTACAGAAGCACATTAAGCGTCTATCTCGAACCCTGCCAAATTACAACCCCGAGGAGGCTATTGGACAGTTCAGAGTTGTAATTTTTTAATTACCTATGTGTGGGCATAAAGCTGTGTGTGTGTTTTGATAAAGCTTTCTTTGTATGAACATATTCCTGGAAAATTTTCATTTCTTTTATAAATAATATGAATATTTATATAAATGTTATTACATTACTTATGAGGCAGGGTGACCAATAGTGACAGATCTGCCAGCCAATCACGAGAGATTATACTTATTTGAAAGTAGTGATTTCATCCAATGGGGAGTAAGCTACCAATGGGGAGTAATCCCACGTGGGCTGGCCACGTGTGATTTTTCAGCCAATCACGAGTTTGAAAGTAGTGGTATCCGCCAATGCTGAATAGCAGCCTGGCCAGCCGCTGCATTCATATGCTAATTAGGCCCAGTAGCGCTCGGCCGGCCGCAGTGTTTCGCTGCATTCATATGCAAAGTAGGGACATTAGCATGGTACGGATGCTGCAGTTTGGAGGACAGGGCACCCTAACTGCGGGTTTTGAAAACTGCCTGAGATACCCGAAAAAGAGCGTGATTTCCTGCCGTTTAGGGTGACGAAAATCTAACTTTTCATGCAGTGGAGTCCGCCTACAGGAGGGAGGTGGACCGGCTGGTGTCCTGGTGCAGTGGTAACAACCTGGAGCTGAACGCCCAGAAGACAGTGGAGATGATTGTGGACTTCAGGAAGAGCACTGTACCCCCGCCCCCACCCTCTGTGATGGACTCCCCATCACCTCATTTCATTTCATTTTTCATTTATTTCGGTTTGGTCATTTACAGATCATTCAAACAAAACATTTGAAACTTAGAACACAATAAATGACCAGGTGCAGGCAGAAGCTAGAGCTTATTGTGCCTGCCCTTAACTTCAAAATCATAAATGCAGCACATTAATGACAAAATCTATTCATAAAATTAACACATTAATGGACCATTGTCCACACCAGAAGAATTCATTTTCATTCCATTAAATATTTTTCCATTGTTATTCTCTTGTATATATTTTTAAACTGAAAAAGAGACGTGGCTTGTTTTAACTCATTGCAGCAACTATTCCATAATTTAACTCCTTTATTTGATAAACAATGTTCTCTTAATGTAGAATGTACTTGTGGTTGGTTAAATATACACAGTCCTCTGAGATTATAATTACTTTCTCGTTGAGTAAACAATATTTGCAAGCATTTAGGAATTTTATTGTGTTTAACTTGGTAAATTAACTTTGCCGTGTACAAATCGACTAAGTCATAAAACTTCAAGATTTTTGATTGAAGAAACAGTGAATTACTTGACCTCTGTGGAGTCCTTCCGTTTCCTGGGCACCACCATCACCCAGGACCTCAAGTGGGAGCCGACCATCAGCTCCCTCATCAAGAAGGCCCAGCAGAGGATGTACTTCCTGCGGCAGCTCAGGAAAGCCAAGCTGCCTGCACAGATGTTGGTGCAGTTCTACACGGCCATCATCGAGTCCATCCTCACCTCCTCCATCACCGTGTGGTTCGCTGGAGCCACAGTCAGGGACAAACAGAGACTACAGCGCATTGTGCGCTCTGCAGAGGAAGTGATCGGCCGCAGCCTTCCATCGCTGCAGGACCTGTACGTCGCCCGAGCTCGAGGCCGGGCTGGTCGTATCACAGCCGACCCCTCTCACCCAGCACATGGACTATTCCAACCACTCCCCTCAGGCAGGAGGCTGCGGTCCAACAGGACTAGAACCTCCCGCCACAAGAACAGTTTCTTCCCCTCTGCTGTTGGACTCTTGAACACTTCTTAACCTGTCCCCCCGCCCTTTATAAAGTCACTTTACTGCCCATCATACGTCACTTTACTTCACTGTACTGCTGTCACCTTACATTGTGTGCACCATGTTCACTTGTATATTGTAAATAGTAACTTACCGTAGGTAACAGCATAAAAGGGCAACCACCGCCGTTCTTTTCCGAAAGAAGAAGAAAAAAAACTTAATCTGTCCCCAGCGGCAACTGACCGCACAACAAGAATGGACCATTTGATATCTACAAACGTCTAAAAATAGCCAACTCTCTAGCATCCAGGTAGCTTTCTAGGCTGTATTGCCACCCGGTCATGTGACGGGCGCGGAAAAACTATAAACAACGACATCACTCCAATATCCTCCTATTGATTGGGTTTGCTTGTGTGAATGTCTGTGTTTCTGCTGCTACTGGACACCTGCTTTTCTCCTACAATCGATACAGTATCTGTCTGTCTACAGCGGTGTGAATGTGGACCATGCATTTAACTAACACAAATATAATACTTTACTAACCTAGAAGAAGACATGACCTGTGTGTCTGTTGTGTGTGTTGTGTGTCTGCAGGCCCACTGCTGAGGACTATAGTGTTGGGGCAGGTGTAACTTAGTCTCTCTGTGTGTGTTGTGTGTGTGTGTGTTGTGTGTCTGCAGGCGGCTGCTGCGGACCATAGTGATGGGGCAGGTGCTGTCGCTCCTGATCTGTGGCACTGCAGTCAGCTGTCAGTATCTGGCTGATGCGAAGGTGGACACGCCGATGCTGCAGAGCTTCCTCAACTACACCCTGCTCCTGCTAGCCTACAGCAGCGTCCTCAGCACACGAAAAGGTACTGTCCTCCAGGAGCTAACCCCCTGTTCTGCTGCTGCTGGTTAAGGGTTATGACCCACTGAACGGTCAGTGACACTGATGTCTGTGACTGGGAGTGGGGGATATGTGCACACGTTCTGTTTTTATAAAGATGTCACACACTAAAGCACTAAAGTGATACACCTGCGCAGAGCTCACTTCCAGCCCTGAGCAAAATGTAAAACGTTCCTCTAAACGTTCTTCTTCCCCAGACGTTCACCTCAGTGGAGCTGGGAGAGTCCGAGAGGTCCAGAAGGAAGTAGAACCCACTTTGATTTGAATGACTGCATACTAGCATAAACTGGGGTGCGTACCGATGTTCCCCGGGTCCGATGTTCCCCCACTTCTATAGGCGGGGGAACATCGGACCCGGGGAACATCGGTACTTCGCGTATTAAAAAGTCCCGATGTTCCCCGGGTCCGATGTTCCCCCGCCAACAGAAGTGGGGGAACATCGGGACTTCAACAACAAGACTAGTCCCGCTGTTCCCCGCGTGCGCCCTTTGATGTTTGATGTTTCCTCCTCCACGAAAGATGGCATATGATCCGTGCCAACTTTTGTGAGAGAAAAAATACTAACTAGCCTAAGCCTATTTACTTTTCTTTTTCCCTCTCACTCTTTGTGTGCTCATATTTCAGCTGATCGCAGCTTGAGTCTATGCAGGATATTTTTGGGCATGTTATGGGCATGTTATCTCCCCTTGCTCACTCTCCCATGGGCATCTATATTTGACAAGTCTGACTGAATAAAATGAGGACGATTGAAACTAGAGCTACTACATCTGTTAGCCTATAGTTTTTACAAATACGTGGTTTTGCTGAGGGCACTGTGCTTTTACGCATAATGGACACGCATATGACGTCGTTTTTGTTGTAAAACTTGAATATGCTCTTTTAGTTTTAGAGATATTAATACATATTATTCTATTCAGAATGCGTGCGTCATTGTGCATTGTTGTCCCGCCTTACGTGTCACTCACAGTTAAAATGTAAATAACCAATTCAAACATAGCATTTTTACAACTTGAGCTTTAAGAAAAAAATGATCAAAGGAATCAGTGTAAAATAAGATCGGAAAAGCTCAATTCATGATTGTTTAATTAGGTTTCCCATTTTTAAATACAATTGGAAACGCTCAGAATTCAAAAATATTGAAAAGTGTATTGGCTCCTACAGTGGGGGGAATAATAATAATAATATAACCCCCTGAGCGTCATCACGTTCCTACGTTGCTTCAAATATAGTCCTGTTTATTGGCTGAACAATTTTGTCCAATATCATATTACACAGCGTGAAGCGAGAACAACCAGCTATTCCTCGTCTTAAAGATTGACAACGCTCTCAAAGCATTCACAACAGAGCAGCCTTTTTCATTTTAATTTTAAGAAAGTTCAGCGTGAACTTTGTGAGGTAGAGGAGCCAGAGGCCCGGGCCCGTAGGTCCCAGAGGAGGAGAGCGCGGTCAGGCCAGGCTCGCCTCGCACTGATGAGGTAAACTCTAGGCCTGTGTGAGACACACTGTGGGCCTCATGTATGAAACCTGCGTACGGCCAAATCAGGGTAAATGAGGCGTACGCAAAATATTTTCCGCATTTATCAATCTGGACGTGAGCGTACAATACGCAAAAAATAAACGCCAGGTCTGGAGGTGGTGTAAATCTATACGCTGAACTCAACCTTCGGCACAACACGCCAAAACATACGCATGAAATTCAAGATATGTACAACAATAAACATATTCCCTCTGGCAAAATTATATGCTGGGTTTTCATTGAGGATCATGTTTCAAAATTTGAATTTGCGCATCAGAAAAAGTCTAATGGAAACACGCAAACTTCGAATAAATCACAGCTCATGATGAGGACCCTCTATTAAATCTGACTTGTGTGTGTATTATTTTGATCTGTATGTTTTTAAAATGTGAAGCGCTTTGTGATCCTGGACAGTCAAAGGCTCTATATAAATACACATACGCAACAGGGATGTGTGACCCATCTATTGCTGTGGCAGGCTCTGCGCTGCGTAATTACGCACGGCTATTTGTATTCCTCATTCACATCTGGTAAAGCAATGTGTTATTTCATTAGATTTGTGTAAGCCTCACACAGACACACACCCCAATAACGCATCGATGGTATTGCTCACTCAAACGTCTCACTGCCCTGTCCAGAGTGCGCAGCGAGTGCCGTGAGAGGTCGCGCCACATGTGCAGAAGTTTTGGCTCCAGAGTTTCTTTGTGAAATCTGGACCGCAAACGCTCTCTGAAGTGTACAGCGCCTCAATGCGCACTTCTACCCCGAGCCAGGCTGCGTCCAAGACGCTGCAGACGCTTCATTCAGAGCCACCGCTGCATAATATAATGAATTAATTAATTCATTCAATCAATCTATATTTATTCACTTCTACAATTCAAGAAGGATTTTTCTAATGTATCAAAACATTTTGGCAAATTGCGTAAATGGAATATACACCCAAAATGTACATCTTTTTCAACGCAAGTTTCATAAATGAGCTTGTGTGTATGTGCGCGCGTGAGTGCGTGTGCGTGCGTGTGTGCGTTTGAACCATATTCTTTGAAACCCCAATTCCAGTTAGCCCTTGTAGTTTTCAAGCGAATTTGGCCTACTTACTAATCTGCAGGCCTACCCAAAATTGCAAACCTGGCGCCAATACTGTTGCGAGGATGAACGGAGGGAGATATGTTTCCAAAAAGAAAAGGTGGTGGAGCTAATTTTACTTTTCTTATCTGCAACACGTTCTTATTCTGAGGTGGTAGGTAGGTTGTAAAAATGTAGTTGGCTACCAATGCGAGATCTACAAGGCTTATAATATAAAGTATTCAGTAGCCCTATGAGCGAAAGCCGCTTGTTGCTCCATTATCCGCGCGCAGCAATAACATGTCTATGAGCGAGGCCCGCAGTCGGGGAACACCGGGCCCTCCGGCGTTTGGAAGGTCCGATGGGGTCCTCCGGACCCGGGGAACTCCGGACCCGGGGAACTCCGGACCCGGGGAACACCGGACCCGGGGAACATCGGACCCGGGGAACATCGGGCCGACCCCCATAAACTGCTAACAAATCTTAAAGGAGCTATACACTTTTTTGCAAGTTTTTTTCAGTTTGAATACGCTCTCCTGTCATGGAGCCATCTAGTTTTATTTGTGATCTGATACGTATGCTAACATTAGCATTAGCACAACATAAGCTGTACAACAATCACTGATGAAATGGTACAAAACTATATATTTTGCACTGTTAGCAAAATATAAAACAGAAAGTTTACCGCTAGTTTTACGTCCAAATGTAGTCTGAGCGTAGATGGTCCGAGCGTAGATGGTCCGAGCGTAGATGGTCCGAGCGTAGATGGTCCGAGCGTAGATAGTCCGAGGCGGTCCCGCAGGTCTCTCCCATAGACGAGTCTCTCCAGAGGATACAATGTAAGCTAGCTATGTTCACCCGGGCTTGATTTCTTCTTTGATCATTTTTTGGCTTTAGTTCGCGCTTCTCTTCCTCACTGTTGTGTCGTTTGGGCTGTTTTGCTGTGTCTGCAGTTACAGCAGGAGGAGTTATAGCCACTTATGCTAACATGCTACTGTGTTTAGCAGCGCTGTAGAGGCTAGAGGACGCAGCCTCGTTCTGTGATTGGAGGAGAGCGGGCGTCACGCTAAGTCCTCTACTCAGCACTTTTTGCGGCCTGAATTCATGCACAGCTGAATCAATGAGCTCAAGTTTTACATTAAATTATGGATTATAATACAACTTGTATGTAGTATTAAGCATTAGAAAATACATCAGGTAGAGTTCTTTCAAGTTTTTTCAGTGAGATGGTTACTAGTTTGGTCACGCGTTTGCTTCTCCATGAAACACGTGTTTACTTTTTACTTTCAGGAGAGAAAAACCTGCTGCAGGTGTTCAAGTCTAACTGGTGGAAGTACGTGGTGATGGGAGTGGCCGACGTGGAGGCCAACTACACCGTGGTCAAAGCCTACCAGTTCACCACACTGACCAGTATCCAGGTCAGAGCCAGGACTGAGGACAGAGCCAGGACTGAGGACAGAGCCAGGACTGAGGACAGAGCCAGGACTGAGGACAGAGCCAGGACTGAGGACAGAGCCAGGACTGAGGACAGAGCCAGGACTGAGGACAGAGCCAGGTCAGAGCCAGGACAGAGCCAGGTCAGACGACAGAGCCCAGGTCAGAGGACAGAGCCCAGGACAGAGCCCAGGACAGAGCCCAGGACAGAGCCCAGGACAGAGCCCAGGACAGAGCCCAGGACAGAGCCCAGGACAGAGCCCAGGACAGAGCCCAGGACAGAGCTGTAAACCGCTTTGACTCTGGTCTGAGATAGGCGCTATATAAATGAATATTACTGAATTACTTACTACTACTACTATTACTATTACTACTACTACTAGTACTACTACTATTAGTACTACTACTACTACTTCTAGCCCTCTTTAGTGACTTCTAAATCAGCTAAAATCTGGAACAGTCTTCCTAAAAATGTGAGACAGGCTTCTTCTCTGACAATGTTCAAATCCAGGTTAAAAACGGTTCTGTTTCTGCTACAACTGAGGGATTGTATCTTTACTCTTTTAAATGTGATTATTAATGATGTGAAAGGCTTGCAGACTGTTTCTGCCTTGTCCTTGTGTATGAAGTGTGCTATATAAATAAACTTGTGTGTGTCAGCTGCTGGACTGCTTCGTGATCCCCGTCCTCATGCTACTCTCCTGGTTCTTCCTGAAGACCCGCTACAGACCGGTGCACCTGGCTGCGGTGGTGGTGTGTCTGCTGGGGGTGGGGGCCATGGTGGGGGCCGACATCCTGGCAGGAAGAGACCAAGGATCAAGTAAGAGGCTCTGCCCCCTGAGGCTCCGCCCCCTGAGGCCCTGAAACACACAGACCTCATCTTCCACAGTCAACACACACTATTCTTGGGTTTCATTAAACTGGCCAGTAGGGGGCGCATGAGCAGAGGTGGGACGACTTTGTCTGGGAAAGCCTTGATCCACCTCGCCCGCCTCATTCCAGTGATTTTTTTTTGTCCTCCTTTATATGAAACCACAGTTGGAACATGAACAAACTCTTGTCTTTCTCTTTATTTGTGCGGTTGCTACACCGCACAAAAATATGGCATTTTGACAGCGCTTCTTCTACTATATCTCGGTGTATAAACCCGGCAGACTGCACCGCCAGGGTACGTCACGTCCTGTCCTACGTTTGATAGTCGCGCCACGGCCCTGACGTCATATGAAACCCAAGAATTAACAGTAACTTTTAGAATGTTCTACATATTCTGACACATGATGTTCTACAGTATCTTTTAGGGTTAGAAGATTAATCACAAATGTGCTTTGGTCTGTCTCCACCTGATTGGACAATAACGTCATGTGCTTTGGTCTGTCTCCACCTGATTGGACAATAACACAACAAGCTTCACTTTCTTGAACAGTTTGAAGAAACTGGACTGAACTGGACTGAATCAGAATCAGAGCAAACACTAATTTCTAAGTGTGTGTATTTATAGATGTCCGAGGAACTCGGTTCTAGCAGCAGAAACACATCCATCCAAACAAACAAAACAAATAAATACATTATTCTAAAAGTTACTACCAATAATAGTAGAGTGCAACAGCAGCAGAGAAGAAGACAGAAAGATAACGATTGTAAAACCCTAACCCCAGAATTTACTGCAGATGGGTTAGGCCTAACCCTAGGATTTATTGCCGATGGGTTAGGGCTTACCCTAGGATTTACTGCAGATGGGTTAGGGCTAACCCTAGGTTTTACTGCAGACGGGTTAGGGTTGCAGATGGCATATAACCTGAATGTGTTCCAGCGGAGGCCGTGGTGCTCGGGGACGTTCTGGTCCTCCTCAGTGCGCTGCTGTATGCGGTGTCTAATGTGTGCCAGGAGGACACGGTGAAGAGGCTGAGCAGGGTGGAGTTCCTGGGCATGATGGGGCTGGTGGGGACCCTCATCAGCGGAGTCCAGCTGTGAGTCTGCTGCTGTGACTCTATAATGTCTGCTCTGACTCTGATGTTGTGACTCTATGATGTCTGCTGTGACTCTGATGTTGTGACTCTATGATGTCTGCTCTGACTCTGATGTTGTGACTCTATGATGTCTGCTGTGACTCTATGATATCTGCTGTGACTATGATGTCTGTTGTGACTAGGGATGTAAAAAACTATGAATTTTCATGACCGACCACCGAGCCTCATTAACCGGTTGAAACCGGTTAACCGTGTGGTTTAAAATATTCCACGTTCTCTGAAATAACAGCCATTTCGAGCCGCTGTTCTCATAAGTGCTTCTCATAAGTGCAGCTGAGCGTTCTACTGGATCAGAGCCGAGACAGCGGGGCCAAAACCCGCAACAGCTACGGCACCTTTGCGCACAGAGAACTGCTTTTTTAATCTTCCTATTCTTCTGTGCTGTGGGTTAAAACTTTTGAGCAGCAAACAACGGCTCGTCCACATCGTCAGAGCAGTGAGTGACGAACCGCGTCTCGCAGGTCTCCGCTAAATTTTAAATACAAGTGATCTGTGTGGAGCTGATCTGATGACAAGGACCAGCAGCACAAACATGTTCCATGTGATTTGACTGAAGATACGTATTTGCGAGAATCCTTTGGGCTTCGTGACACAGAGGAGCGCGACAGACCGGTATGTGTATACATCAGTGTACATGTACAGTGCCTTGCGAAAGTATTCGGCCCCCTTGAACCTTTCAACATTTCGCCACATTTCAGGCTTCAAACATAAAGATATAAAATTTAATTTTTTTGTCATGAATCAACAACAAGTGGGATACAATTGTGAAGTGGAATGAAATTTGTTGGATAATTTAAACTTTTTTAACAAATAAAAAACTGAAAAGTGGGGCGTGCAATATTATTCGGCCCCTTAACTTTCAGTGCAGCAAACTCACTCCAGAAGTTCAGTGAGGATCTTTGAATGATCCAATGTTGTCCTAAATGACTGATGATGATAAATAGAATGTACCTGTGTGTAATCAAGTCTCCGTATAAATGCACCTGCTCTTTGATAGTCTCAGGGTTCTGTTTAAAGCGCAGAGAGAACCATGAAGACAAAGGAACACACCAGGCAGGTCCGAGATACTGTTGTGGAGAAGTTTAAAGCCGGATTTGGATACAAAAAGATTTCCCAAGCTTTAAACATCTCAAGGAGCACTGTGCAAGCAGTTATATTGAAATGGAAAGAGTATCAGACCACTGCAAATCTACCAAGACCCGGCCGTCCCTCCAAACTTTCATCTCAAACAAGGAGAAGACTGATCAGAGTGTGCGCGCGTGCTTGTGCACGTGTGCGTGCATATGTGGCATGAAAGTCGGCCCTGAGTTTACTAATACATACAGTGTATTCGGCCCCCTTGAACCTTTCAACATTTGGCCACATTTCTGGCTTTAAACATAAAGATATAAAAATGTCATTGTTTGTCAAGAATCAACAAGTGGGACACACTCGTGAAGTGGAACGAAATTTATTGGATAATTTAAACTTTTTTAACAAATAAAAAACTGAAAAGTGGGGCATGCAATATTATTCGGCCCCCTTGCGCTAATACTTTGTAGCGCCACCTTTTGCTGCAATTACAGCTGCAAGTCGCTTGGGGTTTGTCTCTATCAGTTTTGCACATCGAGAAACTGGAATTCTTGCCCTTTCTTCCTTGCAAAACAGCTGGAGCTCAGTGAGGTTGGATGGAGAGCGTTTGTGAACAGCAGTCTTCAGCTCTTTCCACAGATTCTCGATTGGATTCAGGTTTGGACTTTGACTTGGCCATTCTAACACCTGGATACGGCTATTTGTGAACCATTCCATTGTAGATTTGGCTTTATGTTTTGGATCATTGTCCTGTTGGAAGATAAATCTCCGTCCCAGTCTCAAGTCTTTTGCAGACTCCAACAGGTTCTCTTCCAGAATGGTCCTGTATTTGGCTCCATCCATCTTCCCATCAATTTTAGCCATCTTCCCTGTCCCTGCTGAAGAAAAGCAGGCCCAAACCATAATGCTGCCACCACCATGTTTGACAGTGGGGATGGTGTGTTCAGGGTGATGAGCTGTGTTGCTTTTACGCCAAACATATCGTTTTGCATTGTGGCCAAAAAGTTTGATTTTGGTTTCATTTGACCAGAGCACCTTCTTCCACATGTTTGGTGTGTCTCCCAGGTGGCTTGTGGCAAACTTTAAACAAGACTTTTTATGGATATCTTTGAGAAATGGCTTTCTTCTTGCCATTCTTCCATAAAGGCCAGATTTGTGCAGTGCACGACTGATTGTTGTCCTATGGGCAGACTCTCCCACCTCAGCTGTAGTTGTCTGCAGTTCATCCAGAGTGATCATGGGCCTCTTGGCTGCATCTCTGATCAGTCTTCTCCTTGTTTGAGATGAATGTTTGGAGGGACGGCCGGGTCTTGGTAGATTTGCAGTAGACTGATACTCCTTCCATTTCAATATAATTGCTTGCACAGTGCTCCTTGAGATTGTAGTGGTTTACTTTGATTGTCAATAAGAACTTTCACAGGAGCCGAGAATAAAAATTCATATAATGCGTTTATTAACTCAATTAACAATACATGGGAGACCCGTCAATCTTGCATGGAGCTCTGCGCAGAAGAAGCTCCCCGTGCTTCCTTTCTTTCCTTTTTAACTGCTCCTGTCAATACTAAATATGGAATCTTGGCTGCGACCGAATAACAGGATCCAGATGTTTCCCTAATGACTATTCCCAAACATCCTCTCTTACCACAGCGTTCAGGTCATCCCGACCTAGTGCTTCCTAAACATATCCCAAAAGAACATATTGCCGTGTTCAGGTCATCACGACCTAGTGCTTTATCCTAAAAAGAACATTCCATTGCACTTAGACATACTCATAGCTAAACATTCTACCACAAGATGTTTAAAGCTTGGGAACTCTTTTTGAATCCAAATCCGGCTTTAAACTTCTCCACAACAGTATCTCGGACCTGCCTGGTGTGTTCCTTTGTCTTCATGGTTCTCTCTGCGCTTTAAACATAACCCTGAGACTATCAAAGAGCAGGTGCATTTATACGGAGACTTAATTGCACACAGGTGCATTCTATTTATCATCATCAGTCATTTAGGACAACATTGGATCATTCAAAGATCCTCACTGAACTTCTGGAGTGAGTTTGCTGCACTGAAAGTAAAGGGGCCGAATAATATTGCACGCCCCACTTTTCAGTTTTTTATTTGTTAAAAAAGTTCAAATTATCCAATAAATTTCGTTCCACTTCACGATTGTGTTAACCTGGCAAGAGCCAGATTGATGATTGTGTAGAACTCTAACGCGTTCTCCGCGATATCAATCTGGGATTTCTCCCGGAGAATCCTTTCGGGGAAAGGAGGGATAAGCAGCAGAATACTTGAAGCTGATTGGGCGAAGTGACGCTGTGTGCCCGCCTACCAAGGTTTGACAAAACCCGATAAAAATGCACAAACATCTTTGCCGTCCAGAAATGCACAAAGCGCCTCTCGCTGTTCATCTTTCAAAAAAGAAATTGGAGATTCTGCTAAAACTGACTTGATAGCCTCAGCTACGCGTCCGTCCTCCTGCGTAGCCATGTTTGTTTTGCTTCGGCCCGGCACTTCTTGCTTTCGTCAAACCCGGATATCCCGCCCTAAACCCCCAGACAGGCGCGTGATTGGCTCGCACACCCAGTGGTTCGACTCGAAAAGTGTAAGCGGGAGCGGTACAAGATGTATTCTCGAGTGTTTGTGAACTCACAAATACCGCGAGAATTCAGCTTGCAGGCAAGGTTACGATTGTGTCCCACTTGTTGTTGATTCATGACAAAAAATTAAATTCTTATATCTTTATGTTTGAAGCCTGAAATGTGGCGAAATGTTGAAAGGTTCTAATAGAATACATTCGCAAGGCACTAATAGAATAATTTAGCAAGGCACTGTAGGCGCACACAGCTAGAGACGGACCCGCTCGTCACACTGTGCAAACAGAGCTTAAAATAGTGTTTTTAAGAGACCTCTCCCTCTTTTCTTTTATTTAACCGACAGCTTTGACCGGTTAACGCTGTGACGGTCAACCACCGGTTAAACGGTCACTGATTTACATTCCTAGTTGTGACTCTATGATGTCTGTCTGTTGTGAGGGACATGAATCACGATACTTTCTGTATCGCGATATGTTCAGAGTCAGAATAATATTGAATTATGGCCCAAACATTTTGATACTATTATTCAAAAATTATCATGTGTTCACCACATTAAAGCATATGACATCCCAGTAAATATTGTAGTATATTGTACTGCACTGTCTGCATACATGCAGCTGTTCTACATAAATAAACATGACTTCATACATGCACAGAGCTGTTCTATATAAATAAACATGACTGTCTGCACAGGGCTGTTCTGGAGACCAGGGCCGTGGCGGCGGTCAGCTGGGACGTGCACATCGGTGAGTCTTATATACATTATATCCATCCATCCATTTTCTTCCGCTTCATCCATTGCCGGGTCGCGGGGGCAGCAGTCTAAGCAGAGACGCCCAGACTTCCGTATCCACACACACTTCCTCCAGCTCGTCCGGGGGGACCCCAAGACGTTCCCAGGCCAGCTGAGAGCCATAGGCTGTGTCCAAAACGCTAGGCATCGGGCCGCGTAGGGTGGATATGTAGGCATCGAGGGAAGGCCGCGTAGCCACAGGCGAGGTAGGAGGTGAGACGTGATGTGGATTTGGACAGCAGCTGCCTTCTGCCTTCGTCACGTGACTACACAACTCAGAGCGAAGCGGAAGGACACGGCGGCCATGATGGACGGTAAAAAGTTCTAAATACGCTTTAATTAGGACATAAAAGTTCATTCTAATATCATTTGAGGCGAGAAATATCCCTCTTCATTGTCATATCAGAAGTCTGTTTGGAGATAAATTTGAAAATTTTCGGACTTTACCTCCAGCCTGAAGCTCCGGTGCTATAAGCTAACAGCCCAGTTGGCTACAGTGCTGAAGCCCAGAACAGGCTGTCTAAACACGGGTTCAGGTAATGAAAGCCCCCTGGATGTTTACAATCGTATTCTGAAAAAACAGAGGATGCTTTTGTTGTTACACTTTCTCTGTTATAACAATTGTATTGGCAGTAATCATTAGTTTTTACAAAGTTATATTTTATGTAAACAATGCACATATATGCAATAAATGATTATTAGATATGGATTATATATTTGCTATGGCCCTCGTTTGTGCATCACTCAAAAGTAATTTTTTCAGACCTAAATGTATTAACGTGTGTTTGCTGATGAGAGAGAAACATCCATTTATCTATAATAATAACTGACACATCCATTTATCTATAATAATAACTGGAACATCCATTTATCTATAATAATAATAATAACTGGAACATCCATTTATCTATAATAATAACTGGAACATCCATTTATCTATAATAATAATAACTGGAACATCCATGGATCTATAATAATAACTGACACATCCAGGAAACATTAACAGACATCTGTAAAATGGAGTTGAACACAGATGTTTGACACTGCTCTTATTCACTTTTATATCTCTTGAAAAGCTAACAGACCGTTACTAATCACATTTGAGTTTAATGTATTAAAGTATAAGTATAAGTACTGCTGACAAATATGTAGTTGTGTAAATAATACCTCACTTTGATGACTCTTTACATTTCACACAAACAACAAAATCATAATAAAACCAACAAGTTTGATTTTTGTTTTCTTTATTTCCAGGTTCTCTGTGAAGTGCTGTCGATGAGACCTGTGTCAGAGGCAGACGCCCAGGACTCTGCTGCTGCTCCTGCTGCTGTTGCTCCTGCTGCTGTTGCTCCTGCTGCTGTTGCTCCTGCTGCTGTTGCTCCTGCTGCTGCTGCTGTTACTCCTCTTGTTGCTCCTTCTGCTGCTGCTGTTACTCCTCCTGTTGCTCCTTCTGCTGCTGCTGCTGTTATTCCTCCTGTTGCTCCTTCTGCTGCAGCTGTTACTCCTGTTGCTCCCTCTGCTGCTGCTGTTACTCCTCCTGTTGCTCCTCCTGTTGCTCCTTCTGCTGCTGCTCCTTCTGCTACATGTCTTCAGAGATACAGAGCCCACTGTTCTAACTATTCATGACTGGTGATTAAAGGAAAATATTATATACAAGTTTGTTGTAGTTCATAATGTTTTCAGCAGTGAAGCAGGAGGTGATGGAGGTGAAGCAGGAGGTGATGGAGGTGAAGCAGGACGTGAAGCTGGAGAAATTATGACCTTAATTTCACCACAAGTCTCTGAAAAAGAAGAACACAAACATCATGCATTAAAACACAGCCCGCATTTAGGATTCTTTTGACACTTCATATTCAATTAATACTATTTATTTGGGGCTTTGCAAAAAACTGGTTAAAAATAAAATACAGAAATCCTTACAGTATTTAATATTAGAGATACAAGCTTCACAGCAGGGGAAACAGAAGAATGATATGATAGAAATATACACAAATAATCAAGTTATGAGCATGGCTAACCACTTTAAACCTGTGTTTGTGGAAGTGGGACTTTGTCCTCTGCAAATGTCTTATTAATGACAAACGAAACCTCTGTATAATGTGTGTTTACTATTTATTAGACTATTGTATGAAAAGGGCTTTATAATTATTCTTGGCCTATTCTATAATTTCATATGTCTAATATATACAGTTTTCCCAGTCTCAGTATGGGATTAAAAACGATATGCACAATCTATTTTATATGAATACAGAAAACATGTGTTAGCATACTATAGCTGCTGTGCTGCAGAGTGATTTTCCATGAAAACGTGACTATTTCAGTGTAGCTTTAATATTTAATCATGGGTTTGTTTCTCCCTAAAAGATAAAACAAAAACCGAATCTGAATGAACTAGCCTCGTAGCATTAGCTTTTCGGGACTGAGCTTATTTACAGCAGATAACAAGGTTAAATACACACATCTGTGGCAGATCTAATTTATGTCTGTGTTTTATCATAACAGTCGTGTTCATAACTCAACAGTAAAGTATAGCAGTACTTACTATAGACATAACTTCACAGTAAAGTATAGCAGTGCTTACCATAATGTTAGCTCCTGCAGGTCCGAGCTGAGTTTGTTGTTTACATGTTAATGCCGAACGGAGTTCTGCGCATGCGCGGCCGTGACTCGGCAAAAAGAAGGCAACGAAGCATACATCAGATGCATCCTTCATATCTGCTCCAAAAGTGGCCGTTTCCATAGAGACGAAGTCACGATGCCTACGCTGGCCAGCTCGCCAAGTGGTTTTGGACACCCCTGCAATAGCCGTCGCTTGAGGAAGTGACGTCACGAGCCTACATATCCACCCTACGCGGCCCGATGCCTAGCGTTTTGGACACAGCCATAGTCCCTCTGTGTCCTGGATCTTACCTGAGGCCTCCTCTCGGTGGGACGTGCCCCGAACACCTCCCTAGGGAGGCGTCCAGGAGGCATCCGGAACAGATGCCCGAGCCACCTCAACTGGTTCCCCCCGATGTGCAGTAGCAGCGGCTCTACTTCGAGCCCCTCCCGTGTGACCGAGCTCCTCACCCTATCTCTAATGGAGCAGCCACTCTGCGGAGGAAGTTCATTTCGACCGCTTGTATCCGCAATCTCGTTCTTTCGGTCATTACCCAAAGCTCATGATCATAGGTGAGGAAGAGAACGAAGATTGACCGGTAAATTGAGAGCTTTGCCTTTCGGCTCAGCTCTCTCTTTACTACAACAGTCCGATACAGCTCTGACTGCAGACGCTGCTCCCTCTTCACCACAACGGCCCGATACAGCGATCGCATCACTGCGCACGCTGCACCGATCCGCCTGTCAATCTCACGCTCCATCCTTCCCTCACTCGTGAACAAGACCCCAAGATAATTGAACTCCTCCACTTTAGGAAGGACATCTCAACCCACCTGGAGAGGGCAAGGCACCTTTTTCCGGTGGAGCACCATAGCCTCAGATTTGGAGGTGCTGATTCTCATCCCAGCAGCTTCACACTCTGCTGCAAACCGCCCCAGTGCATGTTGCAGGTCTCGGTTCGTCGGAGCCAACAGGACAACATCGTATTCCTTCCACCGCCCGACAATATCCCCAGTCGAGGTCAGCAGGTCTCCACCCACATCGTACACGGTGTTGGCAAAGACCAGCTTCCCCCTCCTGAGGCGCCGGACGGTTTGCCAGAATCTCTTCGAGGCCGACCGATAGTCATGCTGTCCGAACACCTTCCAGTCCCGGGTTTTTACCTCTGCAACAGCCCAGGCCGCGGCATGCTTGGCCTGCCGGTACTGGACAGCTGCCTCAGGAGTCCCACAAACCATCATGGCTCGATAGGACTCCTTCTTCAGCCTGAGGGCAACCGCCGGAACCTGCACCAGAGACCTTGTGACCACATGCCGCATCGGCGATAGAGGAAGAGAACATGGTCCACTCGGACTCAATGTCCCCCTCCTCCGCCGGGACCTGGGAGAAGCTCTCCCGGAGGTGTGAGCTCTCCCGGAGGTGTGAGTTGAAAAGTTATATAATTTTATATCTTTATGTTTGAAGCCTGAAATGTGGCGAAATGTTTAAAGGTTCAAGGGGGCCGAATACTTTCGCAAGGCACTGTAATGTATATAAAATGTGTGTGTATATATACAGTGCCTTGCAAAAGTATTCGGCCCCCTTGAACCTTTCAACATTTCGCCACATTTCAGGCTTCAAACATAAAGATATAAAATTGTAATTTTTTGTCATGAATCAACAACAAGTGGGACACAATCATGAAGTGGAACAAAATGTATTGGATAATTTAAACTTTTTGAACAAATAAAAAACTGAAAAGTGGGGCGTGCAATATTATTCGGCCCCCTTGCGCTAATACTTTGTAGCGCCACCTTTTGCTGCAATTACAGCTGCAAGTCGCTTGGGGTATGTCTCTATCAGTTTTGCACATCGAGAGACTGGAATTCTTGCCCATTCTTCCTTGCAAAACAGCTCGAGCTCAGTGAGGTTGGATGGAGAGCGTTTGTGAACAGCAGTCTTCAGCTCTTTCCACAGATTCTCGATTGGATTCAGGTCTGGACTGTTGCGGCTATCCAAACGCGCCGCACGCTACCATCTAGGCGCTCATAACGAGCGCACCTCACAGCAGGAGACGCGCTCCTCCCAGTCGGCCCCTTCCAATGGCCGTTGTGGGTGGTGCCCTTTTTTTCTTTTTATCAATGATTGTTTGAACGTGTGTGAAAATAAATGAACAATGACTTGTGCTCACTGAGAGAAGTCAAACTTATAATAAAATAAGAAAAGACACTCCTTCCTTGTGTTCGTCCGTAATTTGGGTCATTACTGCAATATTTTGGTGCCGAAACCCGGGACAACAAAGAAAAGTCCATAGTTTGCAGAAGAGGACCGCGCGGACGAACAAAGCAAGATGGAACTGGAACGTCTGAAGAAAAAGAGAGCGTCCATCCGAACCTCCCTCAGCAAAGTGATAAGTAAAATTGATGAAGAAATGTGCAAACAAAGTCCTGATTACGCTAAACTGGAGGAAATGCTTGAAATCATAATTGACAAAGAAAAGTGTTTAACGAAAATGGATGAAGACGTCGAAAGTGTTATTCCAGTAGAGGAATTGGAAAATGAAGTGTCAAGATCGCAGGAGTACAAAGAAGTCATAATACGCAAGAAAACCAAGATTAAAAGAGTTCTCAGAGAACCACCAGAAAGTCCATCCATGTATGACGGAGAGCCTGTGTACCAAAATGTGAAGTTGCCCAAACTCGTGATTGACAAATTCTACGGTGATGTGAGCAAATGGAAATATTTTTGGGAACAGTTTGAGAGCGCAGTGCATAAAAATCAAAATCTAACGAAAACGGACAAATTCAGCTATTTAAGGTCATACCTGGCAGGTGCAGCTGCCAACGTCGTCGCGGGATTGTCCTTATCAGAGTCCAACTATGACAATGCCACTGAATTACTCCATAACAGATTTGGACGGAAAGATTTAATAATTAATGCCCATATGACCAAACTGCTCAATTTAAATCCTGTGAAAAATGTGAATGATGTCAAAGCACTCAGAACCCTGTACAGATTCAGATTCATTTATTTGCCATTTGCAGTAAAACCACATTGGAAAAACTGTGCAAGACTACCCCGGTGTGCACCAGACAGAGAAGACGACACACACCAGAGCTCTTGCCACGGCGCCATCTTTACGGCGCCATGCGACAAACAGTAGAATAAACAGCAGAGAGCAATAACATACAGTTTCACAGACAGTTGGATAGACACATTGTGCTTTGTATAAACCACAGATTTTTTTCTTGGGATGAGCACCTCCGACAGCCGGCCCAATGTGGCTGTCAGAGGGGGGCGGGGTCAGGGAGGGGGTGAGTCGGAAACACAATGAGGAGTGGAGGGGAGGGAGGGAGCAAGATGGATAGGTAGAGGGAGGCGGGGGTGAGGGATCCAAGCTGGACTTAACTGAAATAGTGTGAGTTGTTGTAGATGGGACCTTGTTATTATGGCCTTGGCCGAGGAATGTGAGATGAGAGTGGAGAGAAGACACAGGAGGAGAAAAACACATCGCCTCAGGGGGACAATATTAAATGCAATGTAGCAGTCAAAAGCAGCCAGATATTCTATTAAATCCAATTAATCCGAATTGCGGCGCCCTCAGACCTCCGTACACAGGGGCAAATCCATGCCGGGTCAGAGAGTTCAAGCCTGGCACACGATGTCATTCAATCTCATCTCCAAAGTTTTATTCCCTTCGAGTGAACGAGCTGCGAGGTCTTTTATCAACTGTTCCACCAAAACCACTCTCCTTTGTCCAGACACGGCACTCGCAACCACGACTCGGCTAAGCTCCTTGTACATCCCATCAATTTTGTCGGCCAGCAGGTCGTGAATCTTGCGAACTGCCATGCCTCCGAATTTGTGGTAGAAGAGAACCGCTCCAAACCCAAACAGGAGGATCCCCCCCACCAAAATGCCAAAGATATATACGTCTTCCGAATCTTCAATGGACAGGGTCGACAGACAGAGGGGCTGAAACTTGTTCCAGCTGTCAAGAGTATACCCCGCAGGTGAAGTCCCATCCGGGCACACGGGCTCTCCAGACCCACGCTTACGTGTTGAAAAGATAGAATCAATTGCGTTGAGGGACCAGTTAATCATTTCCATTCTTGTTAAAGTTGTCTGTGGCAAAACTCCAGGAAAAAGACAAAAACAGGAGATAGCAAGCAGTCAGAAGCAG